CATATTATACACAATTTAAAAAGACAATAATTTGGTTGTACACAACAGAAAACATGAAAAAATTTTAGGAACGTAAAAAAAATTCTTTATTGAATTTCACTTTAATTTTTTTCTTCATATTCAATATGAATAAACAAACATTTCAAAACCTTAATAGAATGCTGGGGCATCCTTCCTCAAAAACACGGAGACAAGGTTAAGAAACACAAGAAGAAACTCCCCCAAACTCCTCAGTGCTCATTGGGAAGATAAAAATWTCCGATGTCAATTGAGTCTTAGATTTCATGAGTACTACAATCAAGTTGCCAAAATTTTATTGAATAATGAAAAAAATAAGACTTCAAGGGTTTGCTTAAATAAAGTTTAAATTTCTTACCCCACCACTGAAATAAACTACAATAACTACTGGCTGCCAGAGCAAAACAGTTGAAGTTTCCAGTAAAAATCTTTTTCATTGTACTGAGGAGGCAGCAGCTCTTTTTAAGGCATTTATGAATTTAAAGACTATAACACTAATCTCAGATTTATATTTGACGTTATGGGTTTTACCGCTTTTAAAGTGGAATGTAGATTAGTGATGTGCCTTGATTTAATTATTTAAAGTCTGTTTTTAAATGGGGCTTTAGTTTTTAAAACTGTCATGCATYACTCAAAATAAATTAGGCGTTTACAGTGGTTGGAGCAATTGGGATTAAAGCTGTTCACAGTCATCCCAGTCTGGGCCCTAGCTGGAAGGCGATATTGTAAATTTATTGCAGTATATTAGTTTGTGTATAGGCCAGTACTCAGAGGAGCTAACTGACTTGCTTTAGAAATTTTCTCTGGGTCGTCTGGATATAAACTCARAACAATGAATAAATTCGARCTGCAACTTAAGTTTCATTTTACAGCTGTTAACTTTATCTCATTGCCTGTGTTTACATCGACGAAACCCGAAGCTGAAACGTCACAGCTGTGATTCCACAGATGCAGACGATCACTTCGTGATCAGTCTTCTCTTTCGGCTGTTTGTTCAGTCAGGAGCTGCGCTGCGTCTGCTCGTTGGCGGACCCTTTGAGGAACAGTAAGTGGACTTTTGGGGCGCCGAGTGAAAAAGCTTCATGAGATCCTGGAATCGAAAGCGCACCTGGAGRAAAACAAAACAAAAACAACTCAGCTCAGGACGTAACAAGATGAACACGTAAGCCCCGCCCACTCTCACCTGTTGGACAGTCTTATTCCCCAGCTGAGAGGACACTTGTCTGAACGTTTTCCTGGTGGCTCCTCTCTGCTGACAGGCTGTCAGGATGATGCGATCAGCCTCACTGAAAAAAGGAAGATCAGTTTGCTTTAAACTTTCTAGACACCTTTCAGTTCTTTTTAAAAGGTTTTATCTCATGTTTGTGTTTCTTTTTTTATTTACAATAACTTTGTTTGATTTTATTACAACAATCTTCATCTTTTTTGCTTTTTAGTTAAGATGCTATAAAAGAAAATTACACAAAACGAGTGTAACGAGAGTTACAGTGAATATGGTTGATGTGTTATACAAAAAATAAAAGGTTTTTCTGTTTTTATTGCCAATATTTGTCCTTTTGCAAAATAACAATGAGACAGCTTACATACTCTATAAGCATCAAAAGTAGTGAAAAGTAAAATAAAAGATAAAAACTCTGACCGTGTCCAGACGACGACCTTCTTGCCATTGGACGTCACYGTGATGTTTTTGGCACAAACAGCGTGTTGCTCGTCCTCATTGTCACTTCCTGTGTGAGCAGGAAGTGATCCTCTGTTCTCGTCACGAGGGTTCTGGGAAGTGGAGTCCACGTTTGTGTTCTCGGAGCCGGTTGCCTCAGGTGAGGAGCGTGTGTGGAGCTGCTGGAAGAACTCTTGGACCTCTTCCTGCAGGTCTGGGTGCTGCTTGAGCAGAGACGAGACCTGAGAGCAGAAACCAGTAGAAAAAGAAAAAAAAAAAAGCTTCAAAAACTATTGAATAAATCAGTTTCCTGTGTAAATCACTGTTTTGAATTTGTGTCATTATAAAAAAAACGCAACAATCTTGATTTTATTTCTAGCGATACCTTGTCAATGTCTTCTGATGAGGGGGCGGAGCTTCCCTGCAGCACAGAAACCACTTCCTGGTAGAGTAAGGAGTTCTCTCCCAGGTTCCGCCCCAGTCGCCTGAGAAATCTTCTGCTGCGTTCAAACAACCGCTGCTCCAACAGCTGACAGAGAAGAAGATTTACATTTGGTACCCGAGTTAAATCACCCGGAGTCACTGTGATGCAAGAGAAGCGCCACCCACCAGTCCACATCCACGAGCCTGTCTGCGGTTCAGGAAGGCAGCGAAGTCTTTGAGCAGCTGAGGCCACGGCTGCAGGACAGAACTCAGTCTCCTGTACAACACCTCCGGGGTCCCTGATGCCCCYGAAGGCCCTGCCGCTGAAAAATCCTCCAGCATCTGCAACAGCTGCTCGGAAAGGCCTGAGCACTCCTTCACCGCTTCGCATACCTGCACAGGAAACACAAAGTAACACTGAGGGAACATCTGGACTGATGCGGAAAAAATAAACATCACTTTTGGACAGGAAACGGGAAGGTTGGACACTGTGGGAACACAAGATAAATCATCCTAACATGAAACCTTTTTTGTTTTAAGAAAGCAATTTGATTTTAACATATTTAAAGTGGCAATATCATGTRAAATCAACTGTTTTGAGCAACAACTAGCAAACAACTGGTGAAACCGCACATTTGCTGAGCTCGTAATACTTCTCAGTTCAGTCCKTTTTGGGATTAAACATGCCTTTGAGAAAACGTATTTTAAAGATGCCAAAGACGACACGGTTCTTAAGAAACGGTTTGATTTAATTTTTGGAAGTAACCCTCCAAATATTTTTTTTAATATATATTTTTAAGTATTTGTGTGAGTCACTTTATGGATGACAGCTTTCTGAACAAAAGGGAATTTAACAGAGGACTAATAACAAGATTATCACTAAAAGACGATGCAATTCCAACACACAGAAGTACGCAAACACCGTTGTCGTCTGCCCAGGTAAGCTGAAAAACAGCCAAACYGGTTCTTATTCTTTTTATTCCGCCACTTTCGTCGGCTTTTTGGAGGCCATCTTTTTAAAGTTTTACAGTGAACCTGGCTTCAGTGAAAGACCCACTCTGCTCTGCTTTAATTAGATAAATGTTTTGTTTTGTTAGTGTCTGGTTTAGGGTTAAACTTCACAGTAGTATCTGAGAGTTAGGTACAGAACATCTGTGTATCATTATGCGTACAGGTCAATCTGAAAAACAGTATTTATAGCTGCTGGAAGTAATAATGTAAATTGAAAAGGTTATCATTCTTAACTYATATTATAATCTGTGCTCTTTAGTTGGATTGCACCACATYTTAGTAATAAATAAATTRGCTTAACATTGACRTGTGCATGTGAKGATATCTTACCAAKATAAARGTACTTTCCGGGTCYGACAGTAAGGTTCAGTTGTATCCTGAGTTGCCATTTTCCAAAATYGATATTAAATGACGCTGCTTTTTTAATGATTGTTTTTACAACAAAACAGGCTACAGAGTTCCCGGTTATAAACGGCATGCAGMTGTTGGGATGACGTGCAGAAACGGGCGTGACAGAAGCRGTAGGAGGTTCTTAAAGAGACAGAGGTCAATTTCAAGGCGTTTAGAAATGACTGTGATGTGGTCAAGTTTATTTTTGATTTATACATATAAACAGCATTTTCATAACAACTGAAGGTGTCAAGTATATACCTGAGAAACACATAATATTGGCCCTTTAAGGAATGTAAGATTTCATTATAATTTTATAAAAAGCATAAATAATTAAAAGAATGTTTTTGAAAGCTTCAGAAAACTGCTTTTAACAAGTTTACATGTTTTTTTTTGGAAGTCCTATTTTGAGGTGAAGGCCCAAAATTAAATTAAGCAGAATGAAAACAACTAACTTTTAAATGTAGGAAAGCAAATAATGAACCATGATGCTTGAAGTTTAACTACTGTGGTCTTACTCTGTGAAGATAGTCCTGAGCAAACATCACGTCCTCCAACTCTCTTTGACTAACTTCTTCATCTTCAGTTTCATCTGATGACATCTGCTCCTAAAAACACAGATTTCATTTTTAGTTTACAGTTAGCACAAGTCAGGGTTTTCACTCCCGGTTAATGCGTTGATCGATTTTGATTATAAACCACTTCTTGTTTTGTGTTTCTGAATGATTAAACATATATATTTGACCTGCAGCTGGATGACAGATGCTCTGGATTCATCTGAAGACGTCCCCTCATCATCTTTCTCTGATACTGCCTTAGACGGGATCACCGTCACATCTTCTTCACGTTCTGACTCCGCCTCCTTTAGATCAGATAGGTCATCCTCGCTGGCGACACTTCCTGCCGCGCTGGGTGAGGATTCAGACAGAGCCAGGAGGAGGTCACTCTCCTCCTCCACTTCTTCTTCCCTCTCCTCTTCGTCATTAACCCTGGTGGCTTCGTCGCTCGTTTCCTGAAAGGAGGCGGGGCCTTCAGGAGAAACGGGGGCTTGGCTCTCGCTCGTCCTCATTCCTCGTTCAGCTGACAGCTTCCTCCTCCTCAGGCCGGCCAGCGTCTGACAGTGCCGTCTGATGTGCTCAATAGTGCCCATACTTTTGTCCGCTTTGGTCAGGAGGAGGAGCTGCAGGAGGGCTCGAGGAGGACTTAGCGATTGTGGAGGAGAAGAAGAAGAAGGGGAGGGAGCGTCGGGCGGAGCCTCGGAGACAGACGAGGAGYCACGAGGAGGAGAGGGGACGGGCTGCTGTAGGAGGACGAACCCCATCCGTTTAAAGTCCAGGTTTGTGGGGAGGCGAGGCGGGTATCTGGTCCCAGGTGGGAAGCTGTAGGTGTCCAGGGCGGAGCGCACGAAGGCCAGGTGACTGTGACGCACCTTAGCTCTCCTGCAGGAGGGCGGGGCTTCTGGGGCAGGGCCAGAYGGGTTGTTGAAGTGCTTGATGGTCGGATAGATGATGGGGAGGCTTCGCTGGGAGGAAAAACAAAACATTTTGATTTTGTTGAGACTTCAGAAYGGTGTACTTTCGCAAACAGTTTTTTGTACTCCAGACTTTTTATCTACTGCAAATTACAAAAAAAAAATACCAACAACGGTTTGGTGACAAACAGAAAATTACAAAATAAGCTGCCACACAAAGTGGGGGAGACATTTGCAGTGATGATGTATGTTTTGTCGTACCACGAGCCACAGAGGCAGGACGAGCTGCTCTCGCTCCACAGGTGGTCGTCTCACCGCTGGATCCACGTGACGACAGGCCACTGGCATCGACCGCACCACCTGCTGGTACCTGTAGGCCTGCAGAGGTCCCCGAGTCAAACACCTGGAGCTCAGACAGCTGTCAATCAACCGGCAGTGCGTTTGATCGRCATACCTTGACAATGTTGTCGGGTGTACCGGGTCTGCAGCACTGCAGGATTCTCCGTCGGACCTGTACCACGGTTTTCCTCAGCAGAAACTGAGATACGAGCTTGGGTGGGTCAGATGCCCCCTCCATGTTCCTGAGGCCCAGAACCAGCAGACTGATAAAACAAAGAGACGAATGTTTAAATCTGGTCACACTTCGTATATAGATATATTTTTCATGTGTTACCAGTCCTCAGCTGCAGTGAAAGCCGCCGTCCTGCGGGGGCAGTACATGGCAGGGTCGAGGCTGGCACAGGGCAGCAGCTCCGGGTACAGGAAGACTGGACGAGTGGCTAATAACCAGGCCAGCTCAGCGGGCATGACGGGGAAGCAGCGCACTGACAGGACAAAAACAGGAAGACAAGACAGCATTTATGACATCATCACATTGATCTCTTTACTTAAATCTGAGAAAAAAACAAAAATTTGCCAATAAAACTAAATAAAGCTTTGTCTTTATGACTTTAACATATATTTACTCAGAGTCACACAAATATGTGACCCATCACACTGAAACGAGGATTAGTTCAAAAGTGGTATATGGAGAAATATGCAAATATAGTGTTTTGGTTAAAACGTTTGCACAAATTGCATTTTGTCAAAACATAATGAATAAATGCCTTATGAACTGTCTGAAATATAATCATAAAACAAAAATTATGAAGCACTTTTTGAGC